CGGTTTGAACTGCAGGAGATTGTCTTGACCATGTCTACATGCCTAAATGCACTGAGTTGCCGCCATGTGATTGGCTGATTAGAAATTAAGTGCTAACGAGCAGTTGGACAGGTGTACCTAATAAAGTGGCCGGTGAGTGTATATCGCATTATATCGTTCGTAGACTAGTGAATTCAATCGAAATCGTATTGTGACAGACTTTGTGATAGAGAAATATTGAAACATCATCAAAAAAAAAAAAATTCAATGTAATACAGCATTGTTGAAAGAAATAGGTGATTTATCGTGTTCGTTACCAAGATGTGTGTGGAACCGTACAGAGAATGTGTAGAAGCAATTGAGTCTTAAAGAACGGCCATACAAAATCAGAGCTCTGCTGATGTCTGGTTTAATGACACCAGGGAAATCAGGCCAAATCAGGAAATACCAAGACATTTTATCAAAAGCTTCAGGGCATGGCTCCGCCTATATTGATTACATCATCAGTGAAGGGGGGTGGGGGGCTATCATTGTCAGAGCCTTGCCCTCTTAAGAAATCTATCCTAATGATTAAAAGTTCAATATGTGTTGTATTTGTTATCAGGTATGTACCTATTAATTTATAATCATCAAGTTAATCAAAAGTCACATTTAACAGTCATTACAGTTCTATCATAAAACAACCCATACTACGTGTGATGTAATYAAATCAGTAAGTAACATAAACCCCAATAATTTTCTTCTTTGTGATACAGCTGGTKATTTACACCCCTACTCATTACCCACATTTGTAAACATATACTTCATATTGCAATATTTGAAATCTGCTTAATTTAGTGCAGTGTTATTTATTAGCTGTCAGTTCATCAAAGTAACAGAACATTTTGATGTAAAGGATAAACTAGCAACACAAACACAATTTGTTCTGTTGTTTCTGTTGATGCATCGCTCACGTCTGGAGTCACAGCTTAGTTTAGAGGTGGGTCTGTCATTTTCAAAACTTTGCTTCGGCTGTCCACACACAAGCACAAGTGTGACGTTGCAAGACCATTTTCACTCTGGAACCCGTTTTTTTTTTTAATACCCTTAAACCCGGATTTATACTGCATGCGACTCYGCTGCGCAGGTCGCAGCTGTGCGTTTCAAGTCCAGTTTACACTACCTCCACTCCGGTCCRGTCCGACAGAGGAGATCGCAAGATAAATTCAGTRATAAATGTGGAAGTCACAGCAAAAAATAATTAATTCTGTSAAAGACGAACTCCAAACACAGCTGAAAACAACGATCTAAAGGCTTTTGSTATCTGTGTTGAAACYGTCTCGCTGTCGRCTTTCTGAARCTTCTGATTTCAAAATAAAATCCACGTGTATCGTGTGTGTACACATATGCTTCATGCTACGTTTCCATCTGTTTCCCAAACAGAACGATACATTCTGACAGCATTTGTGTAGAAATATATCTGTATATTTATTAATATAGCAGCAATTTCGACATTATTCCGCCAAATAGTGTCTTATTTTGAAAATACGGATGTTGGGTTCGTTTCTTTTCCTGTTGGTGCGACGTAATCTTTAAAAACTGACTCCGGCGCTGCTCCGTCGTCTGGCAAAAATAGGATCGGTTCTAATTTTGACGGATCGCCGTCCGCTCACCGCCATCCTGCGCAGCCAGTGTAAACACTCTCRTTGATTATAATGGGTGAGTATTTGCTGCGGAGGTCGGAGCGGAGCGGAGACGGAACGCAAGTAATGTAAATTAGGGGTTAGGGCAGCAGTCTCCAACCCTGAACCTCGTCCTGAGCCACTGTTCCTGCATGTTTGAGATGTTTCCATACCTGAACACCTGACTGAAGTAAACGACTCACTGACAGCCTTCTGCTGAAACTTGATGACATTCTGAGAAGGTAATTTAGTTATTTAAATCAGGTGTGTCAAAGCAGGGAAACAGCTAAAACTTACGGGGGGGGGGGGGGGGTCATGAGGTCCAGGGTTGGGCAGTCTTTGATTTAGGGGTTCTTAATGCAGTTTTTGCGTGGCTAAAATGACTGAAACAATAAAAACATTCATGTATTCATAAAAACTGCAGTATTGTGGGGCTTGCAATCACATCACAGACAGATTTGTACTGATCGATTGAAAGCAGTTCAGTTCCATGCATGTGTGCAAACACGCAGACTGAAAATGAAGATGTCAGCACCAGTGAACCGTGGAGGTGGAAGGACCTGTTGTTAAGGCACTGAAGCACAAACACTTGTGTTAGCAGCACAAGTAGCAAACCCTTCATCACATTTGTACCAGAACCTCTCAAAAAGACATTCCTGCAAAAAGATCAGCTTCATGCATTGATTTGTTTTTTTTTTTTTTTTAATCACAGCTAGTCTAAACAACAGCTGAGTCATTTTAAAAGTCGAGTGTGAACATTCAGAGCAGAGTCCAAAGTTAATCTATCGCTGTTTAAAGACAGCAGAATGTGCTGAGTGCTTGCAAAAGTTGTTTATCCTTCATGCAGTTAAAGCATGTTAAACGACACTGGAAATATCCAAAGCTCAAATTCACTGCACTAGTTCAAAAGTGCATCTTATAAAAAATATTATAAAAGTGCATTCGATTTTAGATGAGAACAATTACAGACAAAAACACACATTAGTAAGAGAAAATCCAATTATGGCTTTTATATAAACACACAAGTTCTTTAAGGAGTTTTAAGTTTAAACTAAATTTCCTTCAAAGTTTCATTACCACCTGCTATCAAAAGGTTGTGGGTTTGTCTGTTAGCAAAATATCTCAAGAACTCATTACAATGAAACATTAAAGTAAACATCAGTTGTACACTTAAAACTGATTATTTTTAAAGTCATCCCGAGTCAACCACATTCAACTGACCTWAAAATAAATAAAATACATTTTTAAAATTGGTTACAAGTAGGGCTGCATAATATATTTTAAATTTATCATCATCGCGTTAACAGCTTGTGCAACAGGCGTTTTGCTAAAAAAAAACTGCATAAACTGCAATAAAAGCTTACCTCGAATGTTTGCATTTATGCATTTTGTAAAATGGACCTGAGACACCACATCAAATCATAACCAAATCATAACCACCTGAGTGGAGAAAATGTTGGACAACTGCATTGAGATAATTTGCAGTTAGATTTAGATTTGTTAGCCTTTTTAAAAAGACGTTATGACTTATTTTTTTAAAAAACTGATAGGAGTCATTTCTCATTATTTAGAGAATCAGAAAGTTTAATGTGTGATGTTTTAAACTGTACTGCACGTAGTTTGTTGTTTCAGTGCTAACACAGCAGCTGTATTAAAACAAACAATCATGCTGGAACTGAAATGACGTGTTAGTTGTTGTTCTGCTCTGAACCACAGCAGAAAGACGTCAGCGCTGCATATTTATTAGTTCATTTATTGCAAGTCGTATTGTCATCCCAATATTAAGCACTGTTTTTGCACATGGCAGGTTTTCCTGATATTGTGCAGCCCTGCTTACAGGTCAGTCAGGTTSACAGATATTGACCTAACATCTGGTGTGGTAGTAGTTCAGGGTTATTGGAATGCTAACTGATTATGCAAAAAATCTGTTTAAATTTTTGTCGTTACCTCTTTGCTTTCAGCTCGTCAAAATATTTCATGAAACACTGAAGCAGTTTGATTGTTTTTAAGCTTACAGAAAAGAATCGGGTGCACAACAGCTGAATAACTGGTGATACAACACAAAGATTACACCACAGCACGTTAACTTTATAGCTTCTACCACACCAAATTTCACCACAATATTTGTTAATATYTGTTGTCATTTAATTTCCCTTTGGGATCAATAAAGTATTTTTGAATTGATATGAATTAAATTCATTAAGTTWTAAGCCTGAGAATCATTCACATCACATACTTGAAGTGTGACATCTCTAAATATTGCATCAGATTGTGCATAACGTTATTTCTGAGGTTTGACAAAAACATCTAACATCATTACTTCCCAGCATGATTTCTCTTAGTCTAAACCTCTAGCATGAATAACATTTAGCAATATGCATTCCTTTAAGCAACACTAGGCCTTTAATCAATTATTAAAAACAAATTAATACCTTTTTGACTGTTCTTTTTCGCCATGTTGTCCCACAGAAGAAACCGGTCAAGACTTTGCAGCAAACTGGAATTCAAACTTTTACTATATTCAGCCTCTTGTTGAAGTGAAAAACTCCAATATCGGGAGACTTGACGTGAAGTAAGAAAGACGCCAACAAGGCTCAGGGACGCCAGGTGGAAAGAAAGAATGCAGCTCAGATCCAGGCCTTCAACATTTAGGCAAAGATCGAGGGTTTTCCTTCMTTCACTTGATCCAGATGAATCAAACCTGTGGAGGGAAGACAATGGTGATTTTGTGTACACGGCAACACTACACAATTACTAAACCTTTAYTTGCAGGATAACAAAAAATAACTGAAGGCAACAAACTGGAAAACATTTCCTTTGGCAGTCAAATATAAATGAAACTAAACTAAACTAAAGAAACAAGGAAACTTATTTTCTGTCTAGCAGTTTTTTAAGCAAAATCTGCTTTTAATAAGGCCCTTGGCAGAAAAGCTGCATGTAGTTTAAAGTGTGTGCGTGTGTGCGTGTGTGTTGAATACTTGACAGTGTTTTTGCAACTTTGAGGGGTATTTTTGTTGATCAGCTAACAGCAGGACTGGTAGGTGATAATGAAACGGGGGGTGACCAAGAACTTTCCCCACACCTTCAAAGTCTCTGGTGTTTGATTGGTTTAACTTCACACATTTGAAATTTTTGACAAAACTTAAAAAAAGACCAAACATTTTATTGTTGTTTTCCCTGCAGCTGCACATATAACTGCTGGGTGCAGATTATTATTTGATATTATGTCAGCACTGTGTGTTGAGGGAAAAAAAAGGGACAAGTTTTTGACCTTTGGACACATTTTTACAACCAGTTTTCCTTACGGTAAATCAACCCGGTAAATGAAAAAAGAAACCCTGACGGTCAGAAGAATAAAACTGAAAGACGTCTGATTAAAGAAAAAAGGAGAAAAAGAAGAAGAACTCTGCAAACTCTTAATCAGTGTCATGCTGGCTTTGGGAAAAATATGCATGGACCAGACTTCTGGCAATCTGGACTTAGATTTATAGAGCAGCTGTTTCCTCTAGTAGGTTTCCGTTTTCATTCCTGCTTTTCTAGAAAGAGAAACTTAAAGGGCTGTGCAAAACCAACACCCTCTTGATTAGGACCTGGCATGTCACAGTCCCGGTTCCACCACACCTTTACAGACGTCAGACTACCAATCGCACAAACGACGTTGCAGAAGCAACTTAAGCGCACACTAGGATGCATTTTGTTTATCAAGAGGGATGTTCAAGAGMGCCAGGTGCACCCGTGTTGAATCAATGAAATGTTTGCTTGAACCTAATTAAACAACCTAAAGACCCAGCATTCCTTCACTGCCCACCACCTTTAGCATCACCGTTTTGGACCAAGATCCTCTTATGTTGAGAAATGATAGCGATGCAGAAGTTTCCATTAAACTTTAAAAAACAATGCATTAAATAAAAGCATCTATATGCATTAAATGCATTCAAATACCTCTTGCAACATGTTATGAATGACTCTCAGCTACTACCACATCAAGTCAGTGAGCCTAATATCTGTAAAACTGACTGAGTTGTAGTCATTTTTGTGTTTGCTAATGTTGATTAGTTGTTGAGATCGTCTTGAATTAGGCTGACTCCAAAAGCTAATTAGCTGTAGATGCACATCCAGTGGTTATCTAAAAAAAGGTCCAATGGTTCATGAGATATTTTGCCAACAATGAGGGTTGACCTCACAGGTAACAGGGCTTGGGCAATATGGCCCCCTCCCAAAAAAAATCTCCAATTTTTTCATCCCAAATTTGAATTTCGACTTTAATCGATTTGTTTCCCTCTTAAAGGAGTTCCTCTGTTTCAGGTGTAAAACAAATATGTTGTACTCCTGCTTTTTGTAGCAAGAGCCTTCAAACAGATTTTGCAGTGAGGCGTTTGTCTTTCCAAGTCCAACGTTGCAAAACCTAACCAGTTCCAGATAACTGAAGAAACTGTGCCACTTTGCTAGCTGCCATAGGCTACATTCACACTGCAGGTCTTAATGCTCAGTTCCGATTTTTTTGAAAAAATCCGATCTTTTTGTGTGAACGTTCACATTACATTTTAAATGTGACCTGCATCAGAC